GTTAAATTATTTTCATTTTGTTCTTTTATGGGCTAAGACTGCTTTCTGGTGTTTTATAAGAGAAGATGGCCTTAGATTTGAGACTTACGGACTTACTGGATCGTGACAGGTAAAATGGCATCAAGTATTGATCATATTATTTCAAGTTAAACCTGTACGAAGTTTAGAATAATACAAGGGCAATTCCTCGTATATAAAGAACGAGACTTTGATATAGATTCACATTTATGGACACTAAATTAGACAGGCATTTACTACAGCTATTATTTTTAGGACAACACTGTGATAAAAGATATATAAAAAGATGAAAGCATCAACCTAAAGAACACAATAGTAGATCTCGAGCTCAGAACCAAATTCCTGTAAATAACACTTTTAGAAGACTGGCTAACAGAAAGGAGAGTGACTAAAAGTGAGAGTGAGTAAAAGCGCTAACTTTTGAAAATCAAGTTGTCACTTCAAAGTATCATTTACTTTGTAAATTTCCTTTGCGATCATATTTCCTTACAATAAACAAATACATGGAGCCTACTAATATATGTTTGTTATGTTAACTCACAGCTAGAAGCACTTGTTATCTGGTGACAATATTTTTCAATAGTCTGTCCTCTAATATGTAAATGTATGACCTTATCAATTTTGAGTCAATTGAGCCAAAAATTAGACTATTACGATTATTATTTGTATGTGACATCACCCCCTAGCAAAGTTTCCCCACGTTCTATTACTCCATATCATTGTTATATCCCTCCCAACTTATGACCTAAGTATAAGTTTTTAAACATATTTTGACATAGTTTCAGTTTCAAAGCTTGGAAGGTCAACAGCCTGAGTATCAAAACCTTCAAACGATGAGTGCCTTCACAAGAGTCTACCCTGAGAAGGAAGCAAAAACTGATTGAGAGTGACTTGACCTCATGATTGGGGCAACTCAACCATACTTTGCAGCAATGGAGCTTCATGTAGGGCTATGGACCTTAGGGAGACTGTGCAAAGGGGGCAATTTCACTTGCTAAATAATTATTACATGAAGTTATTGTTTTGTTTGTTTGATTCTAGGCTGCCAGGTGGTGGAGGACCATTACCACTATTGTTATATATTCCATGTGGCCTCCTGCTTGTGATATTCAGAATCTTCTTTGGACTTCAGCTCCTTCTTATGTTGACAGTGTTACCCAAAGGATCAATAATAAGGAGGTGAGAAACTATGTCACTGTACAGCTGCTCCTAAGAAGGCCTGAGATTAAAATTCATGTGTGGTCAGGTTTAACCACAAATTCCAATTATAGCTTGAAAACTGCATGCATGAGTGCAAGCTTTCACATATGCTGTATCTCCTTGAATATATGCCAATGCTCTAATAAATGTCGTCCACTCAATAAGTGTCACCCCCCTGTACCACAATGTCAAACAAGCACCCCTCAAGGGTAAGTGCACCCCTCCTCTCTCATTTCCTTGAATAGTAGGGATGCAAGAAATATCTGTTTCTATTACCACTTTGTTTATCACTCTTCAAGCTTTAAATACAATGAAGTCAGTACAGGTGTATAAATTGGACCTGCTTTTCAAATGCTTTGCGCATTGTTTTTACATACCTATGAAATTTACATATCTGGAAAATTAAAGTGAGGAATGGTATTGAGGTGGTGTCTAAACTTGACTGTCACAAATGAGTGAGTAAACATATGCAGGTATGCATATATAGTGTGAAGTAAAGACAGAGTCTTTATTCAGAAAAAAAAAATGCTGGTGCCAAAGAACTAAGATGTGTCTTGAAAGACTACCAATCGAATAGAAATGATTGTCTTTTGACATGTTTGAAATGATCCAATACTTTTTAAATATGTTTACAAGCATTACCATTACCAAAATATTATATGTTCCAGCTCAATGTGAAATTAATTAGATGAGTTATTTTAATGATCACTAGTATTAAAATACTAGTATTTAATGATCACTAGTATTACAAAATTATTTTAATAAACTAGATGTGCTTAAAGGCCTTAACATGAGAAGCTAAAATTGTGTTCCTTTTGATTTTGTAGGATTCTTCTCAGAGTATCTAGTAAGATATTAGGGATTGCTGTAACCCATGAGGGATTTGAAAACTTTGATAAAGATCAGCATAAGGTACTAATAAAGATTCTTCAACATTGCTTATTTGCTAAGAACTGTTTGTGTTTTGGCATCAAAAGAAATCCAGTATTTCATTGGTTTTGCTTGTGTTCATGCTGTGATTAGTCTACAAAACTTGCTCCCCACCATAGTTTACAGGGTCATATAGATAATTATGAGTGCCCTGTCGATAACTTATCACTGTGTTTTATTTAATAACTTCTAGAAAGCTAAATTACTCTGAGAATGAGAACAGAATGTCATCATCTCAAAAACTGCAAAACTTAAAAGTTCTTGAACAAAAGGACAATTAACTGTGGTGTACATGTTTTTCATTTATTCTTTACAGCTTGTTGTCACCAATCATGTTACATGCCTGGATAATGTTGCCGTTGAAACAATACTTCCTAGTGTTATGGTTAGTCTGACCTATAAGTTGTCTTAATGACTGAGTTTCAGTCTTAAAATTCAGCTCAGACAATTGGGAGGGGGCTTGTTACTTTAAGACAAAAAATCAAAAGTAAACAAAATTGAGAAATATCTTTATTATTAATTTCTGATTAAAAAGATAAAGTTTCACTGTTTCTATAAACTTTCAAGTGATTTTGCTGACCAGTATCTGGACTGGTGGCTGGAACATGCCACATTTGAATCTGATTCACAAACTAGCTTGACAATTTGTTTGTGGACTTTTTCGGTCTGTGATAAGTGCTGTTTAAAGCTTATACTGCAAGTGGTTACAGAGCTGACTGAAATTTTAAACCTTTGTTACTGTGGTGACTCGACCCCATTGCCTGGCAGAAGTAGTTAAAATAAATGAAGCCATATACTACTATTACTACTACTGATAATGACTCTATATCATTAGACAAACTATCACCTACAAGTTAATTGATATCTGCAGTGAAATGTTGTATTCAGCAAAGACCTTGTGATATTTTCCAGCCATACAGCAGATGTGATTGTCCATGGCTTTTAAAGTGGGTCCTAGGGTATCAAGAATTTAGTGCTGACAAACAAAGAGAAAATGTAGACAGAGAGATTAAAGAGTACTTACAGGGTAAGAGCTACAGGTGTAGTTGATTTAATGTAGTTTTGGTGTTGTGTGTAAAATAGGGTGTAAAGGATTTTTTGGAGAAGCTCAACTCTACAATGTGTCACTTACTTCTTTTGTGCTCTAAAAGTGTTGG